TCAGCTGTGTTACGTGCTCTATTCGTACTCAGTTTATAAATGCGGCTTGCCAAAACGATCGACCTTGCGATATAATATTGTGTTCGTTCCAATTTGGCGATTACAACTTGTGATATCTGTTCTGATAATGGAGCTGATAATAATTTCTTGATGATATTATTCCTTCGGAATCACATTTTCGTTAAATTCATTTGGACACTTTTGCTGTTATAGGGCGCCACTGCACACATGTGCTTAGAATAGCATTTGCCCCATGTGGATAGTCTATGCAATTCGAAGTCAAATCAGGAGCATTTAGTTTTGGATTCAGAGTCAGTTGGAATGCTGCAGGCGTTTGGTATTTTCGTAGTCTGTGTCTGCGTTATTTGTCTGTGAGGTAATTTCAGACTGCCGAACCTGTCTTTAGATGCCGCATCACGTTTGCAGGCATAGCAGCAGTGTTAATCGTTGCTTAGAAACACTTCAGCAACACTTTTAATCAGTCATTACTCGGCATTAATTCGAGATATCGCTATCATTTTGTGCTCGTGAATCAAGCTTTCCATTGAGCGTTCTTCGTGTTATCCTTTTTTTCGACATGTATTCAGTGAATCATTATTGTTCTTCTACAGGTGCATGGGTGAATCAATACCAGGTGAAGTGGTGGATCAGTTGAAGAAATTCAACGAGACGCTGTCGGTCGTTGAAGATGCCTTACAGGGCCAGTTGAATGCTACAGCGCAAGCTTATGCACAGGTAGCTAGTTACCTACCATAAGAATGTTCTCTTCATTTCATTTTTTCATCAATATAATGTGACCGTCCTCATCCATAATTGTTGTGAGATAAATTTTCGTGTTCCTTTTTAATAGTTTTAAATCGGTGCAATAATTTTGATGGTGCCAAAATGTCGAAGATTTTTCACCTAATTTGGGACAGTTCAGATGCGTTTGTTGGACAGAGCACGTGTGGATCTGATGTCACTGTTCACGATTAATTCGCTTTACTGGATATTGCTCTGTATACGTGGAAAGAATCCGAAAGAAAACGAATCACTTAATCACGAATTGGTGAGTTTGATCACGTTTATTATTTCTCTGTTCGATTGGTCATTGTATGGAGGATGAAAATTTGGTGTAACTGTAGTCTATATCTATAAGCATAAGCTAGTGTAGTCATAGGTTATGGTTGTTTTTATATAGCTCATTCATTTATGCTTTTTTGTGGGTTTGTTTTTGCTTGAAATTTTGTATTTACGTTGCAAAAATTTTTGCGATATTGTTGCAGACTCGCACAAAACAATGTATGGATCGATTGAAGGAAATTGAAGCACGTCCGTATGCACCGAAACTGAATCGACGTGCTGCGGCCAGTTTCGTTCGTAATGCTCTCTGGGAACCGCCTCAACAAACTAACGAGGCACGAATCGTTATTCACTATCAGTATTTTTGGTTGAAATTTAGATTTTGATATTTTTTGTTTTGTGTCAATTGCTCAAATGGTTCTGGAAGTAGTTTTTGAATAATTGACGAATATTATTCAGTCATAGTCAGCTACTCATTATGACCATTCAACACTTGATGTTCGTCAAACTCAACTTTTGCCACTGTTCTTTTAGTGTCTTCTTTTCCACTTTACTAACAATAAGCATAATATCGGTCTGAAATAAGAACGTTAGCCACATATCGTGTGAAATATTCAGTCGGGTAAAAATTAATGAACGACAATGTAAAAAAGTATATTTGTTGTGAATTTCTATCATTGTTAAATTGAACTTATGGAGTAATCTCATCAGATGCAATATTTTGTAACAATATTTGGAGGAATTTAAAGTCATTGATACTTTGTTGACATTCTCAAATAATGGTTGATTCTGCAGGAAGGAGAAGAAAGGGAATGTCAGCAAGATGAGTCGATAGTTGATGAAACGCATTCAGAAGGTAGCAACGTATCAACGCCAGCTAAGCGATGTTTAGATAGGTCGATGGAGTCGGATGAAAGTGATATTGCGATGAAAAGATTGAAGCGTTGAGCCCAGAAGAAGAAGCCTTTAGCAAATGGTGTTTATTTTTGATTTTTCGATTCAATCAGTTCAGTTGAAATTGTATTTTTTGAATGTTTGAATGTGTTGTTTTGATTTTCGTTATCAATAATATGATAATAGTTTTGCATTGATTATTTCGTGAAAGTGCATCGTTCCTACCTCAGAATTGTTTCCTCTTCACATAAAATACGTAAGTAAGGAGTCATTCCAAATGAATTCATATGGAATGCGCATTTTTGCAATTGCACGATTGAACGTCTTGTGTTCACGGCTAGTGCTGTGTTGGATTTATGAGCGGTCCCACTTAGTTCTTATGATTGCTGATCAGCTTATTTTGGAAATGGATTTTGCACAGTTGAAACACATGGATTTGATGAAGCTTGTCACTCAGCTTTATATTTTACGGGAAGTTTTCGCTCCGGTCCGCTATAATATATCCGGATTTTCGAGTACAGTATAGGTTTTGGATGTGTTCAGTTCGTAGTAGAAATCTTGTTTGGAACATGTTGATTGTATAAATATTATGTGTTGTATTTGCTTGCGAAGTTGTTATTGTTACTAATATGTAGTTTGATTTGAATGTTTTGCGAATTATCTGCAATTGATTTCTTTTTTTTTAATTTTTCAAATGGTATTGTATGGTGTTTGATTGTCACATTTTGATGTTGTTGTTTGTGAGAAGATTCGAAATGTTTTGTTAATCTGAAGCGTTATACGATGTTTCCATTTTTTTAATCATATTGCTTAGATTCAAGATTCATAAGTGACGACGTTAGTGAAGAGTAATGAGGATTGAGGCATCATTGGATTGAAGTGGAGAGTACTTGTCATGTGTGCATTTCATATTAGTAGATGTTGATTTGTTTTCTGCCTGTTGACTTTGTTTAGGGTCGTTCGGTAGAAAGTATCAAGGATTTAGATTTTAAGATAAATGTATGAGAGAGATTCGTTTGGCGGCGTTTCGGAAATTGAGATGATAAGATGTCAGATAGGTTGCTATATAATGGCGGAAATCATTGAGTTCAATATAATTTTAAACTTTTCTAATTCCCAATGGTTCTAGCATTGTTTTTCTTTTTTTTTGATCTCTTTTCAGTATTTGCTCGACTGATTCCCATCTTTCATTTTGTACGATTCTATCCAGAAAAGTGTGCTGATAAAGTAAAATAAAATTACTTGTGCTAGAAAATCAGATTTCGATCTAGCGACAACCACATTGATAATGATCGCAAAACACCTGCTGGATGATTAGATTATTTTGGAATGGTGCATTTGTGGTCAAAGTGATTTTGATGGAGTATTATCGAATACATTAAGCGATACAATGATAGACTGTAACTTTAGTGGAATTGGTGATCATCTCACAATCAGTCCTCTAAAAGTTTGAGAGATCCAGCTAAACGGCAAAGTTGTGAGTGTGAGAAACGCGAAGGATGGTGCAGATATAAACATGAGAAGTATGAGGTGTAATGCACATGGAAGAAATTCTTGTGAACTGATTCATTGAGAAGTTGTTTTCGAGAAAAAATTATTGAAAGTGACAATAATCATAAAGGAAAGAAACTGCAAAAGAAAATTTGAGCAACGAATGAATAAATCAAAACGAAACAGTGAAATAATCAAAGCGTTTTTTGCCGTATTGTTTTCGAGAACAAAAAATTCACTGCATTCAATAATGCAATTGCAGGGATAATTGTAGACTAGATCACATAGCGATTTATTGGTCAATGTGTTTAATGCATTCACAAATATCATCTATCTCTTTAATATATTGATACCAAAGAGATGACCTGGAATTGACAAAGCCTCAGCAGTGAATGACCATTTTTAAACAAAAAGGCATTCAAGACTTCATGATCAATTGATAAAAATCAGTGAAAATGAAACTCAGACCATATTTGTGGCCATCGTTGTATTCCTGATGGTTATCATAGTAAATGATACGTTAACAGAATATCCGGGGATTTTGCCCTGTTGGTAGAGTGGGATCTCTAAAATCTCTAGCGTCTTTTATCAGTCCATCGAATAAGTATCTGCTATAATGTCCAGAACATCTTTCACTGAGGATGGTGATAGCAGATTATATTAGCGTATCAGGTAAATCAAAATGAGTACGGCATCTCGCGCAGTCGTACCTGAAGATTGCAGGTCTCTATAGTGACTCCACTCACATAAAAGTACACATTCCCATCAATAAGTAGAATTCACTACCATATATATCCAATAGAAATTTATTCCTCACACAATCTTAATCCATAGAATTAATAGAATTCACTAGCATAGAATTACTTTATAATATCTAATAAAATTAATAGAATTCACTCTTTATCTCAATCCATAGAACTCACTAGCACGTTTATCCAAAAAAAATTTATGCAGAGAATTTATGAAAATATAAATAAAATTCCTCGATCTCAGCTAAATAAATCACTCGTCGATCGAAAATTTATGAGGTCAACTGCTTCGACACTAAGTGAAAACTGACACGAAAAACAGAACATCAACGTGCAACTTTGAAGATTTCCAAGAGAGCGATAGACAAATCCCTTCCATGGATTGAACAATAAACATCTGCACCAAACGAAAATCGAAACAAAAGAATTCAATCATTCGATAATCGCTGTGGATTTAGGTTATTTGAATGAACAAATTGAGAAAATCATCGCAAAAATTCATTTCTGATCGTGTCTTCGTATCAACTTGATCGCATCACCCACCACCACGGATATCATCCACCATTCAGATACTATCAGCTACAAATTGTCCCTTCCCTCTATCATATCCTTCCAATTATGTTCATCAATCGACTCATCACTTTTGTCATCATTATGCAACTATTCTATGAGGTAGCCAACGTTTTGATCAGTCTCTGATCACTTCTACAATGATTGATTCGATCAGTTAAAGTTGTTTTCTCAATTATTACAAGTAGATATTCCATCAACATTTGATGATTTTTATCCAATTCTTCGCATAATCTTCTTCGAATATGTGCTCATACAATAATCCATAAGAACGGTTTCCTACTGATTTGTAGATTACTTATGCAATTGAAAGTTGTCAAAAACTGGCTGTTTGCGCACTTGACCACTGCATCGACAAAATTGTTAACTATCCCGTTGAAAATGAGGTAAGCACAGCTATCACTTATTGTTCTGATGAAAAAATTCTTTCAAATTCAAGCCATCTCCTCGGAATTGTTCAATAATTCCTTATATAACTTTCACTATCCTTTTTCCGATTTGATAATCATGCAAGATTGATTTATTACAACGTTGAAGAAGTGAAACTTCTTGTCACTTTCATTTCAACCTTCCAAAATCAACTCTCTCCGAGAGGTTTTTATATTGAATCTGCATCCGCCAATCATTTTTCCACTTCTTTCATAGATTCAATTATAGATTATCCGTATTTGTCAATAGATTATCCATTGTCATAGTGTCATTGAACATGCATTATTGTCAATAACCAATAGATTATTTAATATCGTCAAGGAAGTAAACTATCACGAAGGCATTAATTCTATCGTGCAGAAACAATTTTGCAGTTAATTGACGATCTGCTGAGTAAGATCAATTTTGGTTGCGTACTAGGACCGTTGTGCTATGACAGTTGTAACCAGTGTGACAGTTGCAACTATGCGCAAACACAGTTCCGTAAAGCCCTACTTAGACAACAACTTGGTATGAAAAACCGACCATTTTACGTAGCGATACTATAAATATTATAACGACTATAGAAGAGGAATTGAATTCCTACAAAATATGACAAGTAATCAGAAAGTATCTCGAATATATCAAATTCGTTTTTGTACGGTCTGTCCGATTATAACGTCTTAATCGGTCAATAACATAAGATTAAGAAAAATACATGACATTTCAGTACAATGTCATTGAATTCAAAAGGAAAAGTGAAGAAACATATCAATTCATGACCACATCAATAGCATTTAGTCGTTTTCTAATACTATTGATAACGTATAGCAAAAACGTTGAATAAAAAAAACGTTCTAATTGAAGTTTTTACGTTCAGAAGGTAGTTTTGAACATGAGTATGCTGTGTTTGGTTTGCTGTAATTGTTTGCAAAGACTTAAATATTCAATGGATGCAGTAGATTCATATTTTCAGATGGAGAATGCCCAATGTTAGAAGAATGCGTACAAACGTGTCTGGTCGAACAGGTGAGTGATGATTACATTGAATTTATGGTTGATGTGGATTTGAAAACATTTCATGTTATTCAGTTATAATCCTTGTACATGAGTCGTGATTACGTTCCAAGATTATTGTTCACGCGAAAGTACTCACCATCGTTAGTGAGTGATCTCATTTGATCTCCTAACTGATCAGATTAAATAAGACTCAATTCCCGAACCATCGTAAGCCGAACAGCGTGCAGATGTTAGGGAAAGCTTTCATCGATTTCGACCAATTGTAACCCTTTGGATTTAATCCTTTACACCCAGTAGGTTGACCGTTTCATGAATTCAAGAAAAACATTGAAGCGATAAATTCTTAGACTGAACCAAAAATTTCTCATCAGAAAAGAGAAACTTGAGCAGAGCAAAAAATCTTTCGAAAAACAAAAGATCCGGTAAGCGAATTCTCTCAAAAGGCGATTGAAATTATTTCAGCCAATGGATCCAATCGGATGCATATTCCGTAATCGTTGTGCGCGTTATTGTTTGGATAAACTGGAATGTGCGCAATGTTTCGATATTTTGAAGCGAATTTTCACTGGTTACTGCTATCGGAATGGTTACATCGAAAGGTACGGACGAAAATGTCGTTTGATGTTCGATCAGATCAGCAGAGATTATTTGAACAGAATACCTGAATGATGCACTAGCGTTTGACCGTGTCTGGATAGATTTATCGCCTGTTATCAGCTAGTGAACATGTCAAATTCACTATTTGTGAGATCAAAAGCTTTTACGTTTAGATTATTGTTTTAAACTAGAGTAAAGACTTGCTGTAATGATCGTATAGGTCTAAATCTTTAATCAACATCTACCGATATAATTGTTCATGCATTGCTAGATTTCATTAAACATAACAATGGGTAGTCGTCAACTTTTATGATATCGTTTAAAAAATACAATTTNATGCATTGCTAGATTTCATTAAACATAACAATGGGTAGTCGTCAACTTTTATGATATCGTTTAAAAAATACAATTTTCAATGGATATAACGTTCACAACTCAACAACTTAGCAATATCGCATACATATACATATGTACAAACATCTTCAAACATTCAAATAACATAAGAATGCATAAATATCGAAACGTTCCTTGCAATATAACCATTGCAATACATAATGATTCATATTTGATACTCGGACTTCAATCATTTGATGCCAACAACGGTATTGATATTATGGTTTTCATGATGACCACAAACACAACGAATTGTCTAATTGATCAGAGCAATTGACTGTTTCATAATTGAAACGCTCTTCAACGCTTGATACTCGCTCGTTATCAACTGTTTTTGATAGGTTGTTGCTACCACCATTCTCATCATCTTCATCATCATTTTCGTTGCCTTCAGTCATGGGCATCGGAAAAACTCGTTGTCCACTACAGGTTGCCAGTAAACGGCCATTTGGATGTAAACTGAATTCATTCATATGATTACAAGCAATCATTTATATGATTATAAACAATGATTACTAGTAATTGATCACTGAGCAGTATGGATAAAGATCTACCACAATAATAGCTTATCACTAAAAAGTATTGACAAGAAACTGCAGCGAAGAACACACCTGATACCAGCAAGCGTGCTCCGATGTGATTTAATTCTGTGGGATGCATCAATTGGTTCCGGTTGATCAGCAACACTATTACTGATACTTTTACCAGCATTGTGCAATTGTTTCAGATCGAATACGTGTATCTCGCCTGATGAACTACCACTGAGCAGAAATTCATCCGAACTGAATCATTTACTCATTTATTGCATTCATTATGAATTCGCTGACTTATTTGATTGAGTATGGCTATTGGGTGTTCACTAGTATTCGTATTGGCATTATGAAACAGCCTCACAACAATATCAGTGCATTTCACTGGCGATATTTCGACAGCAGTAAATTTGAGAATAACTGCAAATAAAGCAGCAAATATTAAGCACTCTTCCAACCTGTCAAGTTCAAAGTATATCGTCTGATTCGTTGACGATGGCCTTCTCGCACAGCCAACCGCTTGACCAGGGAAACGTAAATCCCAACACGTAATTAAATCATTCTGAAATGTTCACAGATCACATTACCATTAAGAATCTGATTATAATGCTTCTTGAATAGAGAAATAATACAGCGCGAGTAGATTACGTAGGGAACAGAAATTAGCTGAACTGAAGTGAAGTGAATTGAACTGAAAATATTCTACCTTCCGAGCAGCCGTAAACAGGAAATTGCCATCTGATGAATAGCGAATAAACGTGGTTCCTTGCCAGGGCGTTTCGAATGAACACACAGCAGCAGCGGTTAAATCTGAGTAGATCGCCACTGAAACGTTGAACAAGATTACTCATATCCTATATCATAACCAGGAATGACAGAAAGTCCTCGAAGTTCCAATTCAATTAAAGAAATTCCAACTAACAATAACATTGAACAAAGCACAACTACGAAAACAAATAAATTAAGAAATGAATAAATGAATAAGCGACCACATACAAGTACGACCATACGAGGCGACTGCGTAAAGACCCGAAAAGCTCGGGTTCATTGCTATACATGATACGATTCCTCGCTGACCACCAACGTTCTTCTCTTAAATGACGAAAATATGAACTTTCAATCATTTGAATAAGGCGAACTGAATTCAGACCACATCACTACACTAATGTAATCACCACAAGCAACTTGCAATTTCTATCCTTCCACTCTTCAAATCTGATAGAAACTTGTATTGAATATGTGTTACTTTTGCTTTACTCTGCCGAAATTTGAATCATTTCTTATTATCGCTTTGTTCATGAGAATTTACGAACAAATCTAAATTAAGCCAATCTCCCGAGCACTACTTACTCCAGGTATGCAGTTCGCGAATTTGACGACGTCCACCAGCATGTAAATCAAAAATTCGGATCATTCGATTATATCCACCATATAGCAAACGTCCGTCCAATGAAAAACACATTGAATAGGCACTACTCAACTCATCCTGTCAAAATGATGACGTGAAAAATTTTGTTTAAAACAAAACAAATGATTCTTCTTACTGATTCAGTCTTATTGATGCATAGTTTTAAAGAAACCATCAATTATTATCACTGAACTGCACTCATTTCTGCTCTCTTGCAGAATAGACAAGGAAGCTAATGTATAATAAACACCGTAGAATTCTCAGAATTAAGAAATACTAATATGGAAGAGTATGGATGAATGTATCAGAGAATTATCTTCACTCTGCATCAAATACAATTCAAAAGCTTCAAAAATGGCTTTATGATGCGACTGATCATGAGAACATACCAAATGATTAATGCCATGCAGTGCTTTTACCAATTCACCGTCAGTGCTCCAAAGATGAATTGGATGATCCTTACTGGATGTTGCGAGAAGATCTCTTGACGGATGCCAACAACAATCGTAGATTAAATCACCTAATGGAATCGATTTTCGCAAAGTTACCTTAACAATACTGATTTGATGGATAATCACCTAATGGATAATTCACTGATTTGAACACAATTCAAATTCTGGATTGACAATAACAAATCCAAATATTCGAGTTGATAGAAACGCATTTATGAAGTATTCATCTTCAAAACCTTTGAGACAATCGTA